AGACTCACTCATTACACATGTAATGGTTTATAAAAATAAAAATAAGCAGAATAAGACAAATTCTTACCACTCCACCGATCCAGATAACAACCCCAGATTCTGTAATGTTATTCCATATCATAGAGCTTTTAAGCAAAATCCCAAACACAATATTGATGACTCCAACTATTATCTGCATAGTCTACGGCATAAAAAAAACAAAACAAGATTTTTGTTCACACCTTACAAATGAAAAAGCAACTTAAAATGACAGAAGTCTTGTAATGTAAGACTTGTATTAAAAAGACAGTTGTTTAATTCACCCCAAGAGCAGTGTGGATGTTCGTCAGCTTCTTTTTCATATTCTGAGACACAGAACACACCGGACTGCAGCAGAGAAAACTCAAAACCTGACACAGCACGGGCCATTTGCTCTTTGGGTTTGAGATGATGGTGAGGACGGTCAAACCCTCACCTTGAGACACTGTCAGAGACATGCTGCAGACTTCAGCCTTTCAACAGGTGATGAAGACCAAACGTCCTGTGTAAAGACAAGTAAATTACCATTCTAGTGCATCACAACTGGTATAAATGCATCAAGATTTCAAATCAAGCTTTAGAGAAGAAACAAAAAAGCTTGTTCACTAAAAGCCTTGACACTGCTATTGCCTTATAAGCAGTGTTGGGGGTAACGCATTACAAGTAACGCGAGTTACGTAATCAGATTACTTTTTTCAAGTAACTAGTAAAGTAACGCATTACTTTTTAACTTTAGTTAAAGTTACTTTTTCAAATAAGTAACGCAAGTTACTTTTTTCCCCCAAAATTATTTATTGACAGCTCTCCTGTCCCCATGCTGAGAGAAATCAGAAGTTGTTAAGGAAGTTCTAAAATAAATATGAATATGCATTAATTCATCTCACTTAAATTACGTTAAAAAAATATTACGCAAGTTTACTTTCCCTTCAGCCTGAGGCTTATTCATTTCACTTTTGGTGTGAAAAGGCTTTTATATTTGCCAAAAATAGAACTTTTTTATTTTACAAACAAACAAGCCAGCCCTGTCCAGATTTTAAAAGTAACGCAAAAGTAACGTAACGCATTACTTTCCATAAAAAGTAACTAAGTACCGTAATTAGTTACTTTTTTAATGGAGTAACGCAATATTGTAATGCATTACTTTTAAAAGTAACTTTCTCCACCACTGCTTATAAGGACAATAAGACACAGATCAATTAACAAATAATGACATAGCGGGCATGTAGTAAGCCTTTAAGGATAAAGTGCCACAATGCTATTTACTGACACTGAAACTATATTCAGTTGCAACATTAAAAGCACATGTAACAACCTGCTAGAGACAAGACGAAGAATTTGGGTAACGCAATGAATTCAAATGTGACAATTTGGCCTAAAGCTAATCTTAATAGAATTCTTTCTCAAACATTCTAGAATAACTTTGATAATTGACAGGGCATGGATGGCGGAAGTTTACCTTTCGACCAAAATAGAAAGAAAACGAAACATCTCCTTCCTGTGACGCTGAATTTATATTTTTGCAGTATTACATATTTCAGAAAGCTCTTAATAAGAAGACAAATAATGACATAGCGGGCATGTAGTAAGCCTTTAAGGATAAAGTGCCACAATGCTATTTACTGACACTGAAACTATATTCAGTTGCAACATTAAAAGCACATGTAACAACCTGCTAGAGACAAGACGAAGAATTCGCCTAATTTGGCCTAAAGCTAATCTTAATAGAATTCTTTCTCAAACATTCTAGAATAACTTTGATAATTGACAGGGCATGGATGGCGGAAGTTTACCTTTCGACCAAAATAGAAAGAAAACGAAACATCTCCTTCCTGTGACGCTGAATTTATATTTTTGCAGTATTACATATTTCAGAAAGCTCTTAATAAGAAGCAACTCAGACGTACCCTGTGAGTAACAGTCCAGAGTGCATTCACTAGATTTCAGGAAAATGTCAAAACTTCAGGAGCAGAGAAAAGAAGGATCAGTTCTGATAAACTACAGGCCCAAAAAACAGCGACGTCACTTCCTTCTTTTTTGATTCGGACATTTTCAAAGAATCTTCTGAAAGAATCATTTATGAATCAGATTGAATCATTTCGAGCGGTTCTCACAAAAGTGACTCACTGAATCTTAAACAGCCTCCTTCACACAGTCTGCCTAATAACAACGAATTCCTACATATTACCTCTAATACAAACAAAAACCTTTTCAGCCAAGAGATATACATTAATTTTAGCACTGTGAATACAAATTATACAATGCTGGATGTCACGGACATTGTGTGACGCATTGCGCGAGGACGCAAATGAATCACTGAATCGATTTTGTGAACCGGTTCTTTGCAATGAACTGTTTATAAAACAACAACAACAAAAAAACGTGAGCTGTTTTCCTGACATTGTTAAACACAGATTATTCTTGCTTAAACAGAAGTGGTCATTAAATGCACAATATCGGCAACAACAAACCTTACACCTGAAACTAATAAGAATACAAAAAAAATAAAAATCATATAATAAAATTATATGAATTTCAAACGATCTTTAGACACTTACTCTGCTTTTGAATACTTTAGCTCAAGCTTTTTTTTTGTGGCAGCATTGGCACTTTCATTTATTATGCATTTTAATTGATTAAGCATTTATCTGGTGGCTCTGTTCTGCTTTTACACATTTTTTGACAGCTGCTGACTTGTATGCGATCCACATAGATATGTATTTTATACATATCTATGGTGATACAAGCTACCTGGAGGTGAAATCATGCAAATGTTTCAGAC